TGCATCGCCGCGCTGTCGCTGCCCATCAATGTGACCTGCATCATCCCGCTGTGCGAGAACATGCCCTCCGGCATGTCTGCCAAACCCGGCGACGTGGTCACCCTGCTCAATGGCAAGTCGATGGCCGTGCGGGATCTGGACAAGGCCGGAGTGGTGGTGCTGTCGGATCCCCTGCTCTACGGCCAGAAGACCTACCTGCCACGTCTGGTGGTGGACATAGCCACCCTGAATACCGGTGTTAAGAAGGCCTTCGGCGGCGGCGCCACCGGCATCTGGTCCAACTCTCACTACATCTGGAAGCAGTTCCAGCGGGCCGGCTCCATTTCCGGTGACCGCGTGTGGCGTCTGCCCCTGTGGCAGTACTACCGCCGGCAGGTCACCGACGAGCTGTCCTACGATCTGAGCAACAATGGCCGGGGACTGGCCACCTCCTGCCTGGCGGCCGCCATTCTCCATGAACTGGTGCCCTGCGTGGACTGGGCGCATCTGGACACCCGCGGCACCGGACTGCTGAGCAAGTACGGACTGGTGCCCTACCTGACCGCCAAGCGGATGACCGGCCGTCCCACCCGCACCCTCGTCCAGTTCGTCTACCAAATGGCCTGTCCGGAAATGAAGTGAGGCTGAGGGCACTGCGGTCGTGGTTCTGTTGCCGTGTGATCAGTGCTGGGCGATTGGCCGACGCAATGTGCGGCCAAGTGTTATATTTTGTTTTGATATTTAAGTAAATCAACTTTTCGGCGTCAAATTTGGGATTACTTTCTTGGGCGGGTTTTAAATGGGAGAAATGCAGCAGAATTTATTACGATATATAATAGGTTGGGAATCAAAACTAGGTTACTGATTTGTTTTATTTTGTGGGTTTAGCAATAAGCAACTATTTTAATTTCATAGGTTCAAAAGGTGTCCCATTGAAAAATGGTCAACTTTAATGCATTAGAAAAACAATGCTGGAGACGTTCTGTGAACTGCAATTGTTTTCTGGGATCTCTAGGAGATTAAAGTTTAGGTCTTAGATAATTTTTTGAATAGATAGTATTTTTTAGGGGCAATTTGAACCCACCGGTCCTGAAAATCCCATTTATGGAATATTAACAATTAAGACAAATGATTTTAAGAAATATTAAAAATAAAACATATTTCCGAGAATTTACTTCTTGAATATCAGAATCAGAAAAAACTTAAAATATATTTAATTTTTAGAGCTAACACTAAATTTCGTAAAGGGTATATTGAAATGTATAAAGTACCGAGTTAATATTTGTATGAGTTTATGAATTTATTAAAATCAAAAGGTTTAACCATCAAAAAGTTGCTATACAAATTGGTTCTATAAATTGAATACTACGCCCATCCCCATTTTATTTCGCTTTTAATACAAGTATGTACGTATCGATGTCTTTGGTGTCCTTAAACTCGCTATTTTCACGGGGTTACCCGCACCTGCTGTACTTTCCTTTCATTCCCCCAACTCAGGTGTGTCTGGTGGCTGTGCACACACTCCCTGCTCATTTCGCATTGCCAAGACACTTTTCGTGGCCTTTTGCCTGGCTGCGCACAAAGACGCTCCATTGCCCGGGACTTTACCTTCTGGTTCGCCAAAGAAATACAGATAAATTAAATTCAGGAAACCCCAAGCTGCGCGAAAGTTTTTCCGCCAGTGAAAGAAAAATGTTAATTCCGAGACGCATGTGGAGTGGAGTGCATTTCCCAGGCACACGCTTCAAGTGCTTGAGGTTGGCCAAATGAATATATACCGTATCAGCTGCCATATATCTATATCAATTGGTCCAGACAGCGCCCCAAAATGTCGGGCCGGCAAAGATACACTTAGAAATAAGTATAGGTTTTGATATAAAGTCAATATTAACTGGTTAAATATTATTATCCCAGTTAAAAAACTTTTTTTAATAAAAGGGTCGACCTTGACCATTTTGGTAAGAGAGGTGAAAAGGCTTTTAAAGAGCTTAGCAATTTTTTTCTCTTTGGAAGAAGAACTTTAGATAATTCATCTAAGGTTAGAATATTATATGTTTTAATATCAGGTCAATTTATAACCAAAAATATAAAATTGAAATATGGGTATTCAAAATTTAATCTGATATCTATTTAAATATTTTTCCAAGTGTACTTGCAAGCTGCAGTCGAATGGATAGTACTATATAGTAATGAAAGACGAAGTCGTTTGCATTGCTTTTGTGGCTGTGTTGCCAGGTACCAGACGATGGATTGGCGGGGAGGGGCTGGAGAAATGGGGGGGAACACTGGCTAACGACATTGAAAATGCTTGTCGAACTTGAAAATTATTCGATTAAGTGCATTACCGGCGAGACATGGATCGGCAATCAAACTGAATTGCACACAGAGCGGTAACTTGGGGAAAGGTGGGCTTAAAAGGATGCAGAATGGGGCATCGAGTAGATGTGGATGGGGATGTGGATGTGGATGTGGATGCGGAGGTCTGAGTGGAGGTCCCTGCTGCAGGGGATTCCATTGTTGTGACTGCCGCAGTGTCGTGCAGTGGAGTGTCTATCCGTCTGGCACCGTGTTTGTTTGTGGCCGCCCCAGCTCGTCTTATTTATGCTGATTGTGTTTTTGCCTATGCCAATCAATGGGGCACGCTTTCGGCAGAGCGCTAAGCCTTTTGTCGAGCGCCCCAAGGTATGCCTTAATTTAATGCATTCGGGGGGCTTACTCCCCGCTACTACAGTGGAGCTTCCCCAAGACCAACCACCACTTTACGATATTAACATATTTTGATATGCAAACGTTTTGGCATATGTTAAATAAAGGTAACAAAATAACTTAAAATAGGAGATTGGAGTAGGACTTTTAGACATTGATTGATTGAGTTAACAAAAAAACATATATTTTGTATAAATATCAAAAAATGTTTTTTAACTTTTTATTTTACGGTATTATATTTTCTTTCATTGAAACCGATTTTCCTGCAAGTTTGATTAATTTACTTTTATATTAGGTCTTTAAGGGGGTATATACCTTTTTCATTTTCAAAAAATCGAAATTTTTTTTTTTGCTTTATCTTAAAGAACAACTTCTTGAGAATATTTCCCAAAATTTTCATAGAGATTTGAGCTGTAGAAAAAAAGTTACAGCGCTCCTAGCCGCGCGCCTCGTCCCCGCCCAAACCCAAACTTGAAACTTTAAACGCGAATATCTCGAAATGGTTTTTTATACCCTTGCAGAGGGTATTATAATTTTGGTCAAAAGTGTGCAACGCAGTGAAGGAGACATCTCCGACCCTATAAAGTATATATATTCTTGATCAGGATCACCTCCTGAGTTGATATAGCCATGTCCGTCTGTCCGTCTGTCCGTCTGTCCGTCTGTCCGTCTGTCCGTCTGTCCGTCTGTCCGTCTGTCCGTCTGTCTGTCCGTCTGTCTGTTTCTACGCGAACTAGTCTCTCAGTTTTAAAGATATCGAATTGAAACTTTGCACACACCCTTCTTTCCTTTGCACGCAGTATATAAGTCGGAACGGCCGGGATCGGCCGACTATATCCTATAGCTGCCATATAACTGATTGATCGGAAATGCCATAACTCTGCTGTTTGTTAAGTTAGGAAGTTGGAATTTTATATGGGTTTTATATTTGGCCAATCAATCCGACCTACCAAATTTCATAAAGATCGGCCGACTATATCCTATAGCTGCCATATAACTGATTGATCGGAAATGCCATAACTTTGGTGTTTGTGAAGTTAGGAAGTTGGGATTTTCTATGGGTGTTATATTTGGCCTATCAATCCGAACTACCAAATTTCATAAGGATCGGCCGACTATATCCTATAGCCACCATATAACTGATTGATCGGAAATGCCACAACTTTGGTTTTTGTTAAGTTAGGAAGTTGGGATTTTCTATGGGTTCTATTTTTAACCAATCAATCCAACCTATCAAATTTCATAAGGATCGGCCGACTATATCCTATAGCTGCCATATAACTGAACGATTGGAAATGCCATAACTTTGGTGTTTTTAAAGTTAGGAAGTTGGGATTTTTTATGAGTATTAAGATTGCATCATATGAATAATTTTGGAGAATATAATTTACAGAATATTCTGCAAGGGTATATCAACTTCGGCTCCGCCCGAAGTTAGCTTTCCTTTCTTGTTTTAAAAATGACTTTGCGGTGATATGGATTGGCGAAAAACTACTGAACCGATTTTCTTCAAATTTTTTTTTAAATGTTCGTAATGAATTTTATTAGTACTTGAACGATCGTTTTTTCATGTAAAAATTTTTATTTCGCCGAAATAGATTATTTTGTAAGAATTTTCGCGTCCAAAAACGTCATTTTTTGCATTAAACGTTCCCGTAAAAAAATTTTTTTTTAAACGTTCGTTCAAGTACAGGATACTACTTTAAACTAATGAAATATTTTTATTTTTTCGGTATCAGTTGACCCATTTGTCCTGGGGAATTATCACCGCAAGGCACCTTAAAAACTATTAAATATTTTTTCAAAAATTTTTGCATAAACATTGTCAACAATCTAAACTTTCAGAAAATATAATCATTCATTTAATAAAAACAATAGTTACATACATAAAAAAATTCATACTTTCCTATTTTTTTCGACAAAAAAAGGTATATACCCCCTTAAGGGAATGTTACAAAGCACTCTTTTGCTTATCTTACAAGTTTTTAAAAGCTTATGAATTTGTTTTGTATTTAAATTTCATTAATCAAATATTGTTGTTTTAACAATAAGAGAATTTGCTGTCATTAAATTTTTTTTTAATAACTTTTTATCTATCAATTAAACGATCTATTAATTAACCATCTACAAAAATCTTGTAATGGAAGTTAAATTTTTGTTATTATAAATTTATAATTGTGTTAGTTACTTGGGTAAACATTATGGACTTAATTCGAATTACAGGCAATACAACTATAAGAAGTCCGCCTGTAATCTAAGCCTAAGTTCTGAGGGGTGATTAAATCTACGGCTCTTAAGGGTGCATCGCCACTCACCGACTTGTCCTCCTGGCTGTGCACAAAGTGCAGGCCATTCTCGCCCTTGTCCGCGTCCAGTTCCGCCGGCAGGACAGTGGCCACCAGGTTGTGGTGGTGCTGCTGGATGTGGTTCTGTTGGTGGTGCTGCTGGAGGTGGTTCTGTTGGTGGTGCTGGTGGGGATTAAGGTGCTGGATCTGGATCTGCTCAACCTGCGGTTGCGTGGCCACCGTGGGATGGTGCACCACGTGCTCCACCGTCGTCACCGGCTCCTCCACATGGGCCACGCCCTCGTATCCGTTGGACAGGCCATGTCCGTGGGTGTAGTCGATGTAGGAACTGGGTGTGGGCAGCTTGGTGGGCACAGCGGGCAGCTCCTTGACATCGTTGTTGCCCGGCTCGATGATGGGCACATACTGCTTGGTCTTGGCCATGCCGATCAATCGACCCGGCTGGACGCCCAGGGATCCGTGATCCAACAGGGTCTTCAGAGTGGGTGCCGGGGCTGGACTTTGTGCCGGATGGAAGAGGATGGGTGCCGTGCTGTCCTGCGGCCGATCCACCAGCTGTTTGCCCTGCCTCTGCAACTTGGCCTGCATCTCCTTGGCCAGCAGATAGGTTAGGCCATGGATCTGGTCATCCGGGGACTTGCCAATGAGGGTGGACAGTTGCTGGAACTCCGGCAGCTGCTTGTAGTGCTCCTTGATGCCATCCGCCTGGGCATGGTACTCGATCTTGATCAGAGGCGAGGGCTCCGGCTGGATTTCGTAGTTATACGACTCCTGGGGTTTCCCGTAGATGGCAGGTGCTTCGGCCAGTAGGGGATCTGGCTTGGAAGGCCTGAACTGTGGGACAATCACCTCCAGACTCTGGGTGGGCGGTGGTGCCAGCTCAGCGGTGTAGGTGTGATGCACTTCCTCCACCGCAACCGTGGGAGCCGGTGCCTCCTGAACCACAATGGGTTGGGCTATTGTGGGAGCAGCTGCCACATAGGCGGGCTTGTAAACATACCGGAGTTGCTCCACCACGGGAACTGGTTGGATGTGCACTTGGACAGGAGCTGGAGCCACCGATGGTTCCACCTGCTTGTTGATGTACTTCACATAGTTACCCAAAGGCTTGGCGCCATAGGATATGGGTTTGGCCTTGTAGTGCTCGTAATCGGTTTTCTGGGCAGGAAGATACTTCACATACGCTTTGCCACCCAATCCATCCTTCATCAGTTGACCGATGACCTTTTGAACTTCGTGAGGAAGGGCACTCAAGGATTTCTTGGTCTTAACATGTCCAGAATTGAGAGGTGACTCCTTGTAAACATACATCCGCTTGGTTTCAGCCGTGGCCTCACCTGTCAGGATGTCATTGTCTTCCACCCGCGAAGTGGGCGTGGTCAACTGATTGGGCTGGGTCTTATTCCTCACCTGGGTTTCCATGGTCAGGAGTGTGGGAACCGCTTCAGATAGCATCTGTTTTCCGGCTCTTTGAGGCAAAGGTTTGGCATCCGCCAACTCAAACTTGATCATTTGAGGAGCTGAGCGTTTGGATCGCTTTGTCTTGCGAATCCGCACCTGGAAAGGTTTCTTCCTAGTCGCTTGGGGTTTCAACTGGTGGAGATCTGGAGCAGATCTAGTGGCCTGACTTTGGAGGTCCAGGGTGCGGCCCTTCTTGATCAGCTGAGCGGTCAGTGGATCGGGTTCTCTCGCATCTGTTTCTTGGAAAGGAATCATCTGGACCTTAAAATCCGCTGGCTGTTGGGATCCAATGACTGATCTTCTCTGGCGACGTGGTTTGCGGGACTTAGCCTTGTTGTCCTTGGTAGTACTAACAGCTGGTGAAGGTTCCTGAGTGGTACTGACAGGACTCACAGGAGTGGGATTTTCCTTCAAGGCCCTGGCATGATATTGCCTTAGGATCTGCTTAAGTTCCGGACTCGGTTCCACTGCATCTGCCAATTCGAATCGCAACATTCTCGGGGCAGTGGGCAGTTGACGCTGCTCCCGTTTTATCCTGGAATTGGAGTGGGTCACCCGACTGGGTTTCTTGTCCTCCACCTGCTCGTTGTACTGATTAAAGGCCGCCAGGTAAGTGTCTCCCGTGGGATTGTCAATTTGTCGCATACTGCGGAAATTACGCTGATCAAAGTAACGCTGCATGTCCTGAAAATATTTGGGTTATATTTTAGATCCTTATTTAAAGTTACGGCTTCCAATCTTTACCTCGTAAGTAGAAAAGGTTTCAAGAGAGGGCAAACGCTGCCAGGTATCCGTGGCTTGACTTGAAGACAGGATTACAGTCAGAGTCAGTAGCTAAATAAGGAAAAGAATACGATGAAATGGGTCTAAGTAAATTGTAGGCTTAATTTATAAGTTATACTGTAATGATATTATCAAGACTTAAGCCTGTTTTAAGCCTTTATTATCAGTCTTTAAATGGTGTCAAAAATCAAGAGGGGAATAGTTACTTTTTTAATAATATTAATACCATTAAAGATTTTTGATTTCCAGCTATCTTATTACTCTTTAAATTATGTCGAAAAGCGAAATATGTTTCTACCTGGCCACTAGCATACGAAATTTCATTCCTAAGAATTATCTTTTTTCCAAAAAACAATGAAACAAAATGAAAAATTAATTTAAAAAACTCCAACTTTTTATTTCAAGGATAGGAGTCATCCAAATGACTTGATTTCGCAATCAATATGTGATGATCATTTATCGAAAAATCGCAGAAAAATAATAATTTACGACCAACTGCGAGGGTTGAACCAACTTTGGTTTACATAGACGGCCGCCCAGACCCATAAATAATCCGTATATGTATGTGTCCACCCGTCCACCTGCTTTTTGGTCGTCTGCCCACTTTCACTTTCCACCAAGCCGCATTTGGACGGAAGCTGCAGCTCCAACTGCAACTGGAACCTGGCTTTAACTCAGCTCGATTCTCGGCATGGATTTGGACTCTCAAAAAAACAAAACAAATAAAACGAGTTGCGCACGAGCTCTGCTCGATCGAAGTTGGGTGCTGGCCTGGCCGCCACTTTCACGTCAACATGTTGAACTTGGCTTTTATGGCCATTAAACTCATCGATGCTCGATTTCAATTGCTTTTCTTGCACTCTCGTTTTACGTAAGACCAATTATGGTATTCGAATTGGTTTGGCTGTGATGCAATGCGGCCAGCTGTATCATTAACTTACATTTCGCGATGGACTGCGATATGAAAGTGACGGAGGTATGTTGATGGCTCGGCAGGAACTAAACTAAATCCAGCCATTCAACTGAATATTGGATATGTTCATATGGCCTTTAAGCCGAATAAATCCCACAGGGGGACTTAAATGACTTATCTCTCTTTCCAGCACTTCTTTAACTAAGCCCATCGAGCTAAATCCAAATGAACTGTCAACGGTCGTTAAAAATGCAACCGCGTAAACATTTAACGGCCGTTAAAACTGCGCCTGAGTGAATTTTTATGAAGTTGGCACAGTCAACGACAGCGTCATACAGCCACGCCCCCACCTCCCCGTTTTAGCCAGTGTGCCACGCCCCCTTTACGCCCACCCTTTGAGCCTAGTAACCTGGCAACTGCATCGGCACCCCTTCTCCCCGTTCTCGTTTTTCTATGTAGAATATTTACTCAACCTCAGGCCGCGCAGTTGGGTTGCATAAAATTTTATGTGCTTTCTATTTAACACTTTTCGGTTTATTTCCCTGCCCGGAAAAGTGTCTTTTCATTCCAGTTGGGACACGCTCTGGATTCGTTTTAAAATTCAATAGAAAAGAGCGATAAAAATTGTTGCTATTTGCGTTTGTTTCTGTTTGCTCAGTTGGATTTTATGGCCTTAAAAGAGCTGCGAAAACTAGTTAACAATTCTTTTACGACCCGCTAAGAGGCAAAGAAACAGGACTCCTTCGTTCATCTGCATTCCGTTTTAAAAGTTTTCGCTTGTTTTGACATTAGTTTGGAATTGAAACTTTAATATTTGCAGTGAAAGCTAAACTTTGATTAAATTACGTTTTTACCATTGGCTCTTGAGTTTTACAGCTGTTTACAAGATATATTTATTGTGCTGACAATTTGAAAGTACTGCGCAGTCATTATACCCTTGCAGAGGGTATTATAATTTTGGTCAAAAGTGTGCAACGCAGTGAAGGAGACATCTCCGACCCTATAAAGTATATATATTCTTGATCAGGATCACCTCCTGAGTTGATATAGCCATGTCCGTCTGTCCGTCTGTCCGTCTGTCTGTCCGTCTGTCCGTCTGTCCGTCTGTCTGTTTCTACGCAAACTAGTCTCTCAGTTTTAAAGCTATCGAATTGAAACTTTGCAGACACCCTTCGTTCCTTTGCACGCAGTATATAAGTCGGAACGGCCGGGATCGGCCGACTATATCCTTTAGCTGCCATATAACTGATTGATCGGAAATGCCATAACTTTGATGTAAAGTTAGGAAGTTGGGATTTTCTATGGGTTTTATTTTGGCCAATCAATCCGACGTACCAAATTTTGTAAGGATCGGCCGACTATATCCTATAGCTGCCATATAACTGATTGATCGGAAATGCCATAACTTTGGTGTTTGTAAAGTTAGGAAGCTGGGATTTTCTATGGGTTTTATTTTGGCCAATCAATCCGACGTACCAAATTTTGTAAGGATCGGCCGACTATATCCTATAGCTGCCATTTAACTGAACGATTGGAAATACCACAACTTTGGTGTTTGTAAAGTTAGGAAGCTGGAATTTTCTATGGGTTTTATATTTGGTTAATCAATCCGACCTACCAAATTTCATAAGGATCGGCCGACTATATCCTATAGCTGCCATTTAACTGAACGATTGGAAATGCCATAACTTTGGTGTTTTTAAAGTTAGGAAGTTGGGATTTTTTATGAGTATTAAGAATGCATCATATGAATAATTTTGGAGAATATAATGTACATAATATTCTGCAAGGGTATATCAACTTCGGCTCCGCCCGAAGTTAGCTTTCCTTTCTTGTTTATTGTTGTTTTGGTATGGTTTATTTTACAAGACAACCAATAATAAAAGTCTTGTTCACTTAAATGTAACAAATTGCATTGAATTTGCTCTCAGGTGATGAGGAAGTAGACTGATTGTAATGATTTTTTATGACATCATTTCTTTTGTGTTTAGGGAAGTTAAATTGTTTCTTAATTAAGTAGCTTTTAGATTTTAATATGGGTGTACAGACGTTGTAACTCTTGAGCTTTAATGCAATCAAAATCCTTTCCTTCGCATAAATCTTACTCTTAAAACAGCATTTTTATTTTTAGAGGCTAATATATTTTAAGCGATTACATCATTATTACATTTAATTTAATTTTAATGGGTTAAACAGCTTCCTACAAAAAAAAGTTGGCCCAAAAGTAAAAAATGTCTTTAAGAATTGCCTAAATCTTATGTTATTCCTTAAAGCGATGTTTATGAAAACTCCTGAAGACACAATCAATATATCAATTTCTCCCTCTGGACTTCATTGTTCTTTTTCGCTTTCTTCCATGTCGAGTAGGTTGCTTCATTAAATGGTTTCTGTAATTGCTGTTGGCCACAAGTTTGTATAATTGTTGGCTGCAATATGCGCTTACGGCATCGCCTCTTGTTGCATGCAACAAGGCGGAAAAACGGGGCTCAGAGCTCCCAGACCAGAAGGAGAGTGGGCCAAGACCAAGTCGAGACACCAGAAGAAATCGGAGCAGGCAAAAGGCACAGCTTGGGCTAATTGTTGGCAGTGGCAGTGGGTGGTGGGTGTTACCAACTGCTTGTGGCTGCAGCTGCAACGGCGGTAGTTAGAACCAGTTTGGTCTTTTTCTCTGGCCAAAACCCAAGGCAAAGTCAAGTTCAATGCACATAAAAGACTTGACTGGTCCGGAGTGGAGGCGAATGGGAGTGGGAGCATGGGGAGATGGTACTTCCTGGGCCACAAGGAAACTTGGCTCAAAAGAAATGCCAGAAATGGCCGCAAACTTTTTTCCATCCACTTAAATTGCAAATTTCCAGTTTCGATTGCAAATGTTGCTGCATTTTCCTTTCGTCCGGCAGTTTGGATATGGATTCCGATTGCGATTCGGTTAGATAACCACAGCGGGCCATCATAAAGCCGGGGTCATAAAATCAAGAGAGTTTTGCCACAAAAGCGAAAACAACAAATGCCGATTGCGTAACGAATTTGGTCAAAAAAACTTTGAAATATTCGCATTCGGTATATGATTTTTATGGCCTGTAATTAAATGAGTGCTGGATAAGTTGTGGCCCAGACCCCAAGCGCCACTGTTTCCTGGCTAATTGAAGTTCAAGTGCAATGAAAATAAATTATTCGCAAAATGTGCGTGCCAGGAAGGGAAGACCATATGGAATGAGTGGATCGTCCATTTCCTGTCCAGAAAAATCGCAGCAACGGCCGACATTTTTCCCAGACCCTGCCCATTTTCGCCCCGAAGACTCTCCACTGGCGCTTGTTGTTTTCACGCCTCGATGACCCTCGCAGTTGTCGGTTATTTATATTAAAATTTCAGAATGATGAACCCCGTGCACTTACCATTAAGGTGGGGCCGGCGCCGCAGATAGCCATTTTCCTTGGGTCGTTTCGGACGTCGGCGGAAGTTCGGGCAAATGAGGCGTCAACGTTGCACGTTGCACGTTGCTCTTTTCGCGTTTCCACAAAAGTGGCAGCTCAATTTGTAATTGTTGTTTAAATTTCTGTTATTCTCCCACGTTGCTTTTCTTTATCTTGGTATTTTTAATGTAAATTGTAAATGAGTTTTTCACCGTTGAACTTTATTGTTTGTTAAGCCTGGAAACGTTGCAAAAAGTATTTGTTGAGTTTGATAAGCTATGTCAGGAGTTAATTGCGAAAAATGCTTTTTAAACTGCCATATAATTTTGTTAACCTCTCACGTTATTATCTTTATGCTAGTAATGTGAATGCATAACTTTACAAGAGTGTTAAGCGGTAATAAAAAGTAATAAAATGTTTGCTTTGCTTGGAATTATTGCATAAAAGTTGTAGAGTTAATTATGAAACGACTAAAATAAAAGAAAAATATTTTGTAACATCTCAATTTAATTTCCAATTATATTTAAAACATATTAGTTTAGACATGTATATTGTAATTTAAATCTTTTTTGTTTAATCTATTTGTGTTTACTATTATTTTACATTATTAACTAACTTATAAAATACAAAAATGTTTTCCATAGTGCACTTATTTGTTTCAAGTTTGGGAGTATTAACACAAGATTTTTGAAATGTTTAAATGTGCTTAGAAAGTTTATTTGCAAATTTAGTTCCTATTTGCTTTGTTTTGGTTTCCTGCAGAAATGTATTCCCTAAACTACTTTAATTCACAAAATGTTCCACTCATAAGTTTCACTTTTGCCATTTTATACAACAATCCTGTAATAGTTTATTGTTGAACTTTTCTTTTAGCGTTTATCTTCATTTAATTTAATTTGTTATCAGGTATTAAATATTCTTGTTAGCCAGCACTTCTGAAAAATGTAATGCAAGTCTTCTTTGCAAAATAATATTCTCATATCCTTTGCGGAAAAAAGCAAACTTTGACTATTTCATTTAACTTTGTCTTTGAGCTTTGTTTGAACTTGCTCGTCGCAGTCCTCGTTCGTTTCTCATTTATTTAATGCGACTTTTAATTTGAGTTTTCGTTTCGTTTTGCCTTGTTTACTTTTGGCTGGAAAAACTGTGGAGGAAAACCGCACGCTTGCGCGCTGCTGCTGCAACTGTGCCTCGAATTTTCGCGCCACTTGAGTTTTGTGTGTGTTCGGGCCGCGCAGTTTTCACGGAGTCGGCCGGTTTGTTGTTGTTTCGCTTTTCCCATTTTCCCCATTTTCCTTTGCCAGCCAGCAGACTTGGCCTGGACTGGTGTGGTGTGGGGCTGTTGCATTTTCCATATTTCTTCATTTTTTTTGTGGATTTTTTTGTGTGTGGGGCATAATAAGCTGGTGATTAAATTTGCAACGCTCAGAAGGAAGTCGAATTTGGGATTTCTTCGGGGAAATTCATTTGCATTCCAATCTCTTGAGAAAAATGGAAATGATATGCGTCATAAGTTGTTGGTACTAACTTTTATTTCAGTACTTGCTGGTGGCTTTACAAAAAATAAATGTTAATTTTATTTTGTTGTCAGTTTTGTATATCTAATTTTGTTTTTTTTCATAAAGAGCATTCCATTTTCGACCATTTAAAGTTGAAAAATCCTCCACCACTCACTTGCTGTTTGACTTTTAGCTGGCTGCATTTCGAGCTGCTTTTTTGGCCATGGCTTTGGCCAAGGCGTCAGCCAACTTTTGACCATCAACATTTGCACAATATTTGCTGTTGTTGTGCCGATGACAAAAATGTTCAAGTTTTTCCTATGTCAGTGTGCATTTTTTTGGTTTTTTTACGACTATCGTGTGCGTGCGACTGAGGATAAAACTAAGCTCAGCCCCGTCATGGTTGTATAATTAATTTATTAATGGCAACCAGTGAAATGCATCGCCACGCATTTCCTATGAGGCTCGGCCCAGGCGGATTATGTGATTTATAGGAAGAACTTATCCCCCTAGGAGGATGGGGTTGTCGGGGGGAGGGGTCCTAACCCCTGGGAAAGTTCAACTGCAGATATTATGCAACAGGCAACCGCGACTCGAGCACGCTCTCCTCGACGCCGCGAGTCACGCACGCGCCACTGCTGATGAAGTAGCTGACAAATTATCTTTATTTTATTTTATTTAATTTTATTGCGGCCCACGTTGGGACTTTAAAGCGGCACTCCGAGGTCGAGCTATCTAGTCGAGTGCATCAAACCTGGGCCAGATGCTGAGCCGATTGGGGGATTTTTGGCCATGATTGGTGGTTACCGCAGTAGGGGGCAATCGGAGGGGGAGGCGGCGGCTTTTGGCACTTTCACATTTGTTTTTGCTGGTGTTGAAATTGAGTTATTAGAGGAAAGCCATGTAAGGGGACAGGGGCGTATACTAAAGTTAGTTAAACAGGGGGGTGATAATTAGGATCGCCTTTATGAAATGTGTAGTGTCTAGGAATATAGTTTTTAATTTATTTAGTTTATTTTATATTAAATAAATGTTAGCCATTAGTTTTTTGGTTTGTTAAATAAAAATCTCAACATTATTTGCAATAAAATATTTTAAAGCCAATAGTTTGCGATTTCCATACTTAATTTCGAGAACATGAATCGGTTCGCCCGTTGTTGAGGCTTACAAAATATCAAAACAGCTATTTTTACATCTTAGAGGTCCATATTCTGAAAACTCTTTTGCGATAATACATTTCGAAAATCTCTTAGAAATAGATACTTTTACTATTGTAATATAAATTTGTTTTAAAACAGAGAGCTAATAAAGGTAATTTGATATTTAAAATCCTTTTCTCCTAAATAAATGTATTTGTCAGTTGTGTTAATAATCAGCTATTACTACGGCTTAAGTTTTAATTGGATAACATGGCTTTCGCGCAATACTCTATTCAATCCCCATTGACAACTTTTAATACCCCACCTCTGCCACGTTCCTCGGGCAATGTGCCAACCTCCTTCCGAAAGCCACATAATTGCTGTAATCGCGGTGGAGATTTGCAATCTCGTAATAAATTCAGCCACTGAAGATGCGCCAGAAGTCGGAGGAGCTCCTCCCGCTCTGGGAACCCCCTTTGGTTCACCAGATGCGTCGCCAGTTGCAGCTGCGATAGGCGGAAATCTCACACAGAAAGTTGCATTGCGGATGCAGTCATCGTCGCCATCTCCAACTCCAGCTCCATCTCCTCCAGACTGCCGCGATGTGGTGCGGAAGTTTAACCAACTAACAAAGTGACTCCGAGCCTGAATCAGGGGCAACAATTGCTGGCCAAATGTGTGACTTTGTTGACGCTTCCAGCCGCTCATCCCGCTCATCAACTGGTTGAGCCGATGGATTCGGTGTTCCAGTTTTGACAATGGCCAGGCCCGCCACTTAATTGCCTTCAAATTGTTTCGTTTAAAACTTGGACAGTTGGTCATTTGGTTTTGAGGAAATTGCAGCATCGATTGCGATCGTATCGAACGTTTTAATTGACTCGCTCGCAGCTTCCTTCATTCGCCAGATCAGGATCTCCCTGCTGGACTCCACTGCTGCCTTAATTGTCCGACACTTCCCGTTTTCGTGGTTTGCTTCCCATCAGCCCATCCTCCGACCACCATCTATCCTGGCCAAGCCAAACCGAACCGAACGGACTAGACCAGGCCGAAATCTAATTACGCCATCGCAGCCAGAAAGCCAACGAGCGCAGCAAATTGACAACACAATAAACAGGAGGCCAAAAGGGGAGTGCAGTGGGGGGGTGGGGCTCGAAGTGGGAGTTCGGAGGTTTCGGGTGTCACACATGTGCGACAGTTTCTGATTTATGAACACAATTTCCACTTTGACAATGAGCGAGTTCTCCAACTCTCTAGCACTTCGGCGATGGCTGCACAGAGACAAAAATAAATAAATACTAAGTACCCTTCACTTTGGTATTTACCTTATAAAATAAACTGAGAGTTTTCGGAACGAAATAATGTTTTAAAGGAGCAAAGACATTCCGGAAACTGATATTCTTGTAATTTTTCTCATAAAATATAATTATTAAATTTATAATTAAAGCCAAAGCAAATGTGAATATGATAATTTTTTAAGTTATTTTTTTGCTAATATATATGGTATGTTCATAGCCTGTGTCGTTATTTCTAACCAATTTATACAACTATTTCATTTAAATATTGTTTCGTTTTATTTTATTTTCAAAGTAAAGATTTTTTGACATTTTAGCAATGTAAAGTATTTAATATTTGTTTTAATATATATTCATTGGATATCCAAAGCCAAGTTGTAGACCCGCAGTATCATATTTTGTGTCTTTAAAATTTGTAAGTTAAGTTTCCATAAGACAGATATAATAAATAAGTTTAAGTATAAAATGTTTAAGCAACAATTCAATGTTATATTAACTAAATCCAATAATCTTATCTTATAAATATTTTCCCTGTGTAGCTTCCAAGCAGATGAGCCGTTCCCCCTTCTTCCCGAACGGAGTTCATGTCCGGGTTGAAACTCTGCTCCTGTTTAGGGAAGCTGCTATCTGGGAGCGACAATTCCTACCGAAACTGTTAGTTTATGAGCGGGAATGCCAGTGAGGTCCCCCACTTCCACGTTGGTCTAGGTGAATTATGTTAATTGAGATTCGGTGGCTGATAGTCCGAGCAGGAGCTGCAGCTGCGTCCCACTTCGATTCGATTCCCTTTAAGACACTGACCAGGCCCGTTTGGGCCATATTTCAGGGCTTATCTGGGCCTGAGATGCACATAAAAATCGAACCCCAGTCGGGCGGAGATAAGAAGGCCCGAAAGAGTTGTCCTGGCCAATGCAAAATGGGTAATCTGTGGACTGGGTTCGATTGGGCCAGCCCCAAATGCATAAATTGTCGCAGTCGAAGAGTTCTTTTATTGCCAAAACTAAATGCTTGGAGTCAGGGGCTGCTCTTATAAATAACCCACATAAATGTGGTTCCCTTTTTTATTTCTATTTGTATTTCCCACA